GAGGCGGTCTCAGTGACCTGAGAGCGTGACCGCAGTGCCCAAGGGACAACTGCTTGAGGCTGGTCGCGCACGGTCTTTTCGTGGGAGGTTTTTGACGTGCTAGCTCCGTTCTCCAAAGGGCCTTACCGCCGGAGACGGAAATCCGTGAGGTAAGGTGAGGTGTGCATTTTTAGGGTCGACCTTTTCTAACCCCACCCCTCCTTGTGGGAAGGCAGCATCGCTGTCATGCTGGTTGTCTGAAGGAAACACCTTACTGCTGTCACATCTCTGTACAGTCAGCAGTACAACTTCACCTTCGGACCTTGGGTTTGTTGCTTTTAGTCTTACCGCTCTTCAACCGACCTGTCTGACATGGTAGGACCTTGAGGATTGGTTGTTCCAGCCAGTATAGCTTCATCACGATAGGCAAGCCCGACCACCACGTCAAGGTAGCAACAACGGTCGGGGGTCCCAGGATATACGAGCAATGCTTCGAAGATACCTATGATCAAGTACTAGTAGCCTACGAGTATCTTCCACCCTTACCGGCCATGTTTCACTGCCATAAATTAGAACGGAACGAACTGCTGCCCAGTAAACTTATCCTTTGATTGGTAGATGGATATCTCGCCTACGCCATAAATGACGCAAGTTGGTAGAAGCTAGTCGAGCCTTCTGTATCTGTGCTGAGATTTCGTCACACACCAGACCACAAGGGCTGATGAGACTTCCAAGATAAGTGAAGCGATCGACACGCTCAATTACTTCACTCCCTATCATTAGTTCGGGTGTCAATGCAACGCAATCCTGAAGCAACATTTTGCATTTCGAGGGGGAGAATCGCATCCCGAACATGCTTGCATTGTTGCTTAGAGTGATCAAAACTCTGCATTTTGTCAGCGTCTTCACCATATAGAACTATGCCATCGGCATAGTTCTAAGTCAACAAGTGAATCTCCCGGCAAAAGTTCAACCCCTGGAAATCTAGACGAGGAAAGTGTTATCTCTAAAAGAACGTCGACGACAAAGTTGAACAAGAATGGAGAGAGTGGACAGCCCGGATGAACACCACTTGAGGTAATCAATTCTGATGACAGTTCGCCATAATCTCTCACTCGACCGGTTGTGTTCGAGTAGAGAGCCTTTATAAGGTTAATGTACTTCTTTGGTACTCCCATCAGTGAAACTGTCATAGAACCTCACGATCAACAGAGTCAAATGCCACCTTAAGGTAGAGAAATACTGAATGTGTGTCTATGTTCTAGGACCTGACTTGGTGTAAATATCTGGTCTATACAACCAAGTCCGGGTCAAAAACCAGCCTGGTTTTTTCTAGTTTGCTCTTCACGAGCTCTGGTCAGGCGTCAAAGTATTATTGAACCTAATATTTTAGAAACTATCTTAGCCAAACTGATTCCTTTGTGATTGTCACAAGAGGACTTTTATCCTTTCTTATAGACTGGCACGATCAGTGATTGAGACCAGTCAGATAGGATTACGTCCAGTTCCTAGATTCTACCCAAGACCTCAGTTAATCTCACTGCTAATACTAGACCACCATCCTTAAAAATCTCAGGAGTAAACCTATCAGGACCTACTGCTCTCCCTCTCTTCAGATTTCCTTTAGATTTTTCGACTTCGTAAAGAGTCGGAGGACCTACATTAACTTGCCATTCAGGTTGACTAGAGATCGTGGGAAACCGAAGTGTGGCTGAAGGCCAGTTGAACTGATCCCTAAAGTGTTCTGTCCGTCGATCCAATCTTCTGGATTGAGAATGAATAATATGTCCATCTTTCTCTGAGAGTGTTTCGCTAACAGTCGGTTTCCTAATACCGGTTTCCTTAACAAGTCTGAACAATTGTCTGCTATTACCTATTGCCGCTGCCTTTTCCATCTCTCTTGCTTTCGCTACCCACCACTGTTCGCGATCATTGCGTAGACTTCTTGTCAGCTTGCGCTTAAGCTGACTCCGCTCTTCATTATGTTCAGAGCCGGGTGGAATGAGTTTCCGAGCATCTATCAGTGTGGTAGATGCTGCTTAGATCCAGTGTTGCTCCCTAACCTTCTGGTTTACCTTACTAGCAGATATCACTGCTGTTTCCACAGCTTTTCGGATATCATTCCATGCTGCATCGGGTTGGGCATCACATACATGGCTGCCTAACTGTTTGCCTAGTTGTTCCTGAAATATACTCTTAGCTTGACTATCATTAAGTAGGCCCCTAAGAGGTTTCCTTGCAGTGTCTTTCCTACGTCCAGTAAGACGCAAGCAAATACGCGCTCGCACTAGAGCATGATCTGAATCTAGGCATGTGCTCCAGAATGAGCGACAGTCTTCTATCGAGCCCCTCCATCGGTGGCTGATAGCGATGTGATATATTTGGGTCCAACGTTGGGACGAATTAGGGGGTCGCCATGTTAAAAGATGTTTTTCCTTATGCCGAAAGTTAGTATTTGCAAGGAACAGGCGGTTATCTGAGCATAGCTACAACAGACGGTCGCCATTATCTGTTCTTTGAGCCACGATGCTATAAGATCCACCCAGGGGTCTCCCGTTCTCTTAGTTTGCCTACTTGAGCATTAAAGTCACCAGCCATTATTACTACATCAGAGCGCCTAGCTTTTCGGAGAATGTCGGAAAACTTTATGTAAAACTCATCTTTTACATCATCTGAGCTGCAGTCAGTGGGAGAGTAGACAGAGACGACGAAGAGGCAAAGACGAGTGTCCCTGTCCTTCCGTGTCCTTAGTGTTCCGTTTAGTCGGACAACGCACAAACGACTGTCTACTGGGATCCACTCTAAGAGAGCTAGTTCTGCCCTAGGACTCAATGCTATATCTACTCCAGCGAGGCCACGGGAATCAGCATCAAGGCTTCCAGATACAGGAAGTGTGAATCGAGTTGGTCCTTTATTTTGACATGGTGAGGTCAAATGAATGACGCTGCTCGGATCCTGTATGCACGTTTCAGAGACGCAGCACACATCGATGGCGCGAGATTCTAGAGTCCTAGCTAAGGAAGCCTGTTGTCCTATTTGGCACAGTGTCCGGACGTTAAAAGCTCCTACGCGTGGTTTAGAACGTGGTTTCAGGAGATCAGGAATGACGTTCCGCGTACTCGAATCGTTTGCCCTAGCGGTGCGAGGTGTTAAAGGGACGTGAGAAGGGTTAGTCATGGAGATGAGATAGTTATTAGGAGGTGTAAGAAGGATTTGAATGTGACCAACTTGGTCTCGTGTGCTGTTACGGGTATGTGTGCTGATATCACCTCCCGGCTGCCCACACCGTGGAAGGGTATTTCTTGAGGAACCTAAAAAGGAATTCGGATTAATGTCGGCCTTAACGGCCTTGGAGCGTGACCGCAGAGCCCAGGGGACAACTGCTTGAGGTCGGTCGCGTACGGCCTTTTTGTTGGAGGTTCTTGACGTGCTAGCTCCGTTCTTCAAAGGGCCTTATCGCCGGAGATGTGTTAGTGGGACATAGACTAGATTAAAGCATGCTCAATGCATGATTGTTTTGGTGCCCGCCGATTGGCTGATTCTTATCCAATCAGCACTAGTCGATAGTCGGAGAATACTCTGGAATCTTCTTATGTAAAAACTATAAATATACCGACGTTTTCCCCTATTGTGCTTCTGGCTTGCATCTTGCTTCCATCTAACCTTGTTGTTTGGAATATAATCTCTTTCCTGTTCAACCGTGTTCTGATTTGGGGTCTTGTCGAGTGAATCGGTGTCCAAGAATACTAAGCAATAGGAATAGCTGGGTCATTAACCGTAAGAAAACAGAGTTATAACAGTGGCGACGGGGAAAAACTAAAGAAAACAGAATTATAACAAGATGGAAATCCGTAAGATGAGGTGAGGTGTGACATTTTTAGGGTCGACCTTTTCTAATCCCACCCCTCTTTGTGGGAAGGCAGCATTGCTGCTGATGCTAGTTTTCCGAGGGAAACACTTTACTGCTGTCACACCCCTCTACAGTCAGCAGTACGACTTCGCCCTCAGACCTTGAGTTGCTGCTTTTGGTCTTACCGTTCTCCAATCGACCTGCCTGGCATGGTAGAACTTACAGGAACATATGCTCCGGCCAATATAGCTCAGTTGGGTCATCACAATAGGCAAGCCCGACCACTGCATCAAGGTAGCAGCTACGGTCGGAGAATATTAAAACTATTTGTCATTAAGATGAGTCGTCGTAAAAACGTAGCGGAATTCCACGAAGTGTTCACACTGAATAATTTACTGTATCAGAACTTCAACCTGATGGATATTGATTTGCTTTCCATAAGTTGCAATTAGGAATCGCACATCGACAATCTTTCACTATTAATTTATTATTACGCAATACTTATAACCCATACACTGCCTTTTGTGACGATTTTAAAGTCCTCTAGGTATTTTAGATAGAGTTTTGTTCTCTGAGCTGGATAGTTTAATTATGGGGCTTTCATCGTTCTTCTTAACGACATCATCAGTACAAACTTCAGGTAGAAGTTGTGTTCGAATGTCTCCACACATGCATTTCTCTGCCATCCAGCTCAGAGAAGAAAACCACCTAAATCACCCACCTGAGCTATGAATCTTCATCTCTTGGTATTTTGCCTGTATTTTAAGCCAATGTTGCTATTCAGGAATGTCATGCGTTCCATACTTTTTAACCAAAACTACGTTCTAATTAGACTTCCGATTAGCTATCAAACGTAGTTGATTAATTCACGTGATTATCCCCTTTATTAAGTTCTGAAAAAGCACTACTGATTGTGTACTGGAAAATCTAAATAATCCAATAACTGCTGTACGTCCATTTCAGTCCGAACTTCCTGGTGAAAGTATTACACTATTTAGAAGTAAAAGTGAAATATTTTGAAAATAGTGGGTTTTTATGTAAAATATTGGTTCCTAGACATTTAGTTAATGTCCTAGGTGCATTACAGATCATACTCAGAAATTTATTTCTCGCTTTAGGCTTTAATACTTGTGTTTATAACATGAATTTGAAACTTCCAACATAATCACTTATGGATGTCCAAACTGGCCACTGTGAGTGGGTTGCTTCGTCCAATACGAATTCGTCTACGGAGGGACTCATTAGCTCTATTGCTAACCTAAGTTTCGAAGAAACCCGTTTGCTTTGGGGAAATAGTGGTTATGCTACTGTGTCTACTCAAGATGCTCTTGGGAACCGCCCACCATTCGGTTCGACACCATGGGATGTTTCTTCAAACCATACCACTTCAAATTCCATACCAATGGTTCGCAGTCGGCGCGACAAGCCCAACAGTACCATCCCAGAATCTAATCTAAGTGATGGGAGTATTTTGATGTCTCCTGGATCTAAGGATATGGTGGCTTTGGGGATGCAGATGGCAGACCACGTTTTAAGTAACTCTCCAGGAAATAATGGTAAGTTTTAAAATATATAATCGTTATTTTTTCGCAGCTCAGTACTTGAGAGACATTTCTGAAAACTTGTCAAATGCATTTCCTCATCGTCCAGCACCTAATTCACTCAATGGAACCCAATCTTTTGCATTAAATTCTTACCAATATGATTCAAACGTAAGATCAGTCCTTCCAAATGAGTCAGATGCTTTGCATCAAAATCAACCTCTTCAGTCTGGAGCTAATGGATTGATTTCAAATTGCTTTAATCCAGCTCAATATTATATGCGTCCACCCTCAGCTGCAACACAGTCTTTACAACAAGTACCTTATTCGATTATACCTAATAGATCGTCGGAATATGTGCATGTAAAAAGCTTTACCTCAGAAGCAATTAGTTGCGAACCTTGCAATTCCATTCAAGCTGAAAACTTAGTACCATATTTCATCAACGTTCCAGCAAATACAGATCCTTCAGCGTCCAACATACCTGCAGAGTCTTTCAATATGTTTACTGGTTCCCATTTACATCGAGATCAGCATCCAGCAAGCCAATCTGATAATACAACCCACTTAGTTCCTATAATTCCCCAAACAAATCGCATCAGTAGTTTACATCATATGAAGTATAACTCCACAAACGCTAACGAGGAACATAAAAACCAATCATTTAATCCTTACTTGGGTGGTGCGTTTTCTGGTGTAAATCAATTAAACACATGCTTAGATTTTAATAGTGAATTTATGACGAATCCTTCGTTTATTAGTCATGTTTCTTTAGCTTGTAGTGAAGGCTACCTACCAACATTTATTCGGTCTAATGGGCCGCCCTCACAGGACATAAATAATTTTGGAGGTTGCTCAAGCTATCCTTCTGTAAATCAAGATTTTTATATGCATGGACCTTATAGTAATCTCGGAGGCAACAGGACGGTGGAACATGCACCATCTGAACATACTACTAACGGACTAGTTACAAATTCTCCTTATGGTAAGTTTTTTCTTTGAAAAAAGATAAATCCTAAGGTTTTTCGTGACTGTATATAGCGCAATTCAAATAATGTACATCCTAGCTGTAACTATAAGGCGACACTTGATATTTGGACTTGTCGATAACATCGCCACATTTGTGGTTCAGACAGTATTTTATTTCAAATTCAGGTAGCTCAGTGGCAAAGCGGAAACAGCTGCTATCTTCATTTAAGTAATTTTGTCATTAAAATTCAAAACTGTGGTTAATCGTTGTACTTGAATGTAAAGACCGTGAGATACTTCTCTTGGATGACCATTTTAAATCTGGCAACGGTTGGCTGTAAAAGCCGATGATAAGATGTACGAGTTCGTGGACGAGTGAAACGACACAACTTAGCAAAATGAACTGTGTATATGTATATCCAATTCCTAAGGTTCTTCAAAAAGCGGTCTTCGGTATACAATCAGCCAGTCACAAACAATGTGACATCTGGACCAAGTTGCCACAAGTCATTCAAGAAAAACTAGAAAATATATTCTAGAAAGGAAAAATTCCAAGCTTATGGTTACCGATACCATATCCCGTTTCTAGTATTTTGTGTTGCTACCGGCTTCCGACTGACTTATCATGTATGTCGACAACAACTTTTGATTTGATTTTAGCCAAACACAAACGCATTTTACAAAAAAAACATTAAGCGGCATATTTATAGTTCAGCTGATGTCTATAAATAAATAATTTAAAGAAGTTATGTTTAGTGTACAATAGCATACCAACTCAAGTCCAGCCGGAAAACAGTAATTTCTCAAATTATCCCAAATTAGAATTAACTTCGGAAGCATTGCTTATTTGTACCGGTAAAATTATAAACATATACAGAAGAAACGTCGATGAGTTTATTTGAAGGTTAATTTTCATTCATAATTAATTAAGGATCAATTATGATATCTAGCCTGTTTCCGAATAATTTAATTGTAATGTATTCATTCTTTGTCTTCCCTTCAATTTTTAGTTTTAAAGTTCTTTTGTGCGTTTATTTAGTGAATTTATTCTTTCATCTCGAATTATATTGTCTTTGCCCAATATTTTCTATTACCACCAATACTACTGCTACTACTCTGGTCTTCATTTTGATAATTTCATTTTTTTGTTGTTGAGATGTATTATGGGAATTTGTTCCGGTACACATTTGTTGCGCGTGACTGACTGATGTTGTGTACACGTATTGCGTATATAAGTGTTTCAGACTGAACAATTTTAGCCTTTTCCAAAAGTTACGATAGTTGGAGGCTTTATTTGTTGTGCGTATAATATATATCAAAAAGAGTGAAATTTATTTATTTATTTATTCATTTATTTGAACACATGAATATTGGTACAAGAGAGCGCCAATATATATGCGCCACACAAAACAATGAGAATTCGAAGAGAAATAGAAAAAAAGCTAAGTAGTTCAAAAAGGTGAACAATAACGAAGAGACTGGTGTAAGGTAGTGTGGTAGTAATGAGGGAACGGAAAGGTACAATCAGAAGAAATCTTTCAGTTAAGGAAGATACAACCTTTTTTTATGAAGAAAGTAAAACAAGGTTACAGCAGGATCGCCACTGGCTTCTATTCTGAGCCATATCTGATAACGTCTCTAGCCACTGTGTAGCACCATCTCTCGGACCCCAACCAGGGAGTCGTGAAGGACCGACAGAAGCCAGTCCTTTGCAGCTTTCTTTCATGCCACGACACCATGTCATGCACTGACCACCTTTCCGCCTCTTCCAACCAGTCCCAGAGTCAGCAAATAATGCACGACGTGGAATTCTCTGGGACGACATTCGGAGAACATGTCCAAGCCACCGAAGTCGGTGTTTCAAGATGGTGACACCAATTGAATTATCATCTCTGTGCCCGAACACACGATACCGAACCTCTGCATTACTGACATGGTGTTGCCATTGGATGTCAGCAATCCTTCGGAGACAGCGAACACAGAAAGTCGTCTAACGTCCTCAACTCGGAGAGACCAGGTTTCACAGGCATAGAGCAAAACTGCTCTCACTGACGCGTTGTAAATCCGACATTTTACAGCCAGACTAACATCACGAGGGCGCCAAAGGTGGCCCAGATTGGCATAAGCCGCTCTGGTTTTCACTATACGTGCATTTATCTTATCACTCACGCCACCAGCACTTATCCAGCTACCCAGATACACGAACTTCTCGACTACTTCTATCTGCTCACCATCCAGAGTGAGTACAGGATTAGAATCCTGCCAGTCTTGTAGAAGTACTTTGCACTTCGAAGGTGCAAAGCACATACCATACGTACGGACACTGATTGCCAACTGATTAAGTGCGGATTGCATGGCTTGAGCATTATCGCACAGTAAGACAATATCGTCCGCATACTCAAGATCGAGAAGTCTTTCTCCAGGCAACAGATCCACACCACCATTACTTACATCCATCAGAGCTGTTTCCAGAATGTCATCGATGGCAAAGTTGAAGAGGAATGGTGAGATCGGGCAACCCTGCCTAACCCCACTGCTCGAATGGAACAATGGAGAGAGGTGGTTGTATGCCCTCACTCACATATAACTTTTAGAAAGAGTTTAAATACGCCAGTCAACATTAAAACTGTCAATTCAATCTTTCAGTGGCTAGAAAATACAGTATATGAATTCAGTCAGTTAGTCAAATGCAACGCGAAACTACATACATGTGCGCGGGTTCAAGTCGCCACATGACATCGGCACAGCGAGTTGCCAGAACAGTATCACCAGCGATAGCATTGATGTTAGTATAAATGATTTGGGGAAAAACATGGGCCCTTGAAAGAAAGCGTAAAAAAGCTAACTAAGAAGCTTGGAGTCTAAAAAGATGTGTTCAAACTCATGCAGAGGTATTATATTTAAGGACGATAAATAAGTAAAGTAGCTGGTAGTGGGACATGCGAGTATTTCACGTAATATTGTCAAAAATGAATAAGCACCTAAAGAGCTTGTGTTGTACTCATCAATACATTTTTGCATGGTATTTTTTCGTGTTTTCACATTTGTTCAGGTCCCGCACAATATGGGCCACAAAAGTTTCAGCATACTGTTTACCCTAAAGGTGTATCTCCAGCTCCAGGTGATCAACTGAATATACAGGTACCAAATTGTGCTGGTGTAAACAACTATCCAATGCACCCAGTTGATACTATGGTAAGCACGTTGGTGGGGTCGCAATTTCTCGGACAATCAGCGAACGGTCATGCACAAAATGGGGCTGGTTTTCAAAATTTACCTGCCAGCGGTTTATATCAATCTCTTATTCAACCTAAAGATCCTTCTATACATATTCAGGCTCAAGCTGTTCAGCCTGTTTCAAACGACCAACAACAACAATCTGCAGCCTTATTCGCACACACTCTTCAGTTGTTTGCAGCTGCCGCTGCTAGGAATATGGGTTCTGGAACACACGATATTCACGTATCTGGTGTCGGGTCAAGTAACAGTGGATCTGTATTAAATTCTGTTGATTTTGAGTGTTTGAGGCCTTCAGGTGTAAGTGCAGAAGTTTCGCTTACTGCACCCATTCTACCAGATCATTTGCAGGTAATCTGGATCAGAGCTTATTTTCTGTTTTGTTTTGGTATACAAATTCTAATATCAAACTTCTCTGAGGTTTTATGGCATTTATTAGGAAGATCAGTTCCTTGTGACAATACAGCCTATAAAATGTATAGTTAATACAAAGTGTCTTTACACAGCTGTTCGAACTTAGTGTATAGTAATAATCATATTCCTGTTTCCTTGTTTGAATTTTCTGGTGGAGAATTATAAAACAGTAAAGTTCGCAACATTTTTTAATAGAAAATTTGGGTAGATTAACTGACTGATTTCCACCCCGAAACATACAGTGTATTATCGGTATCAATGCCAAGGTTGAACTCGATAGTTTCAAATACATTGAGTACGGGGTAGGAATTTGATGATAAATATATGTTTTGTTATATTCCAATGATTAGAAAAATTGTATTTCTGATGTTTCGTGACTCAATATAAGCCACTTCAAAGAATATAAATAACCGAAATAAATTAACACGGGTTTAAGTAGTACTATTTAGACTTGTGTTAATTCGGTTCTTTATTTACTCTGAAGAAGTGGCTTACATTAAGTCATGAAACATCAGAAATCCAGTTTTTCTACTCATTCGGATATAACAAAAAATATAATTATTATACAGTGTATTATGTTGTTGTTTTAAATAACTCATAATTTTAAACTTCGGTGAATGTGTAACTGTAGAAACATTTCGGTGATTAAGGGGGTGCATTAAGCCACTGTTGGATTTGGAGTTGTTACCGAATGTTTTCATAGGTTTTATTTTAACAATCACATTATTGGGTTAACTTCCACGATTGCTCATTCTTGATTCTTATGGGGGTTATCTTTTTACTTCTATGGTAATTGATTACTATATGTTCATCAGTGACATTGGTTTTTCAAACATTTTATATGTCGACGGTTTTTTACCAATTTTGGAGGGACTCAGTACCTGGTGACCATTAATTGGTTCATACGCCATTTGCTCCTACAGAATCCTAGAGCCCTTTGTGCACAATTGGCTTGCAATCAAGGTTTTCCAACTCCCCTAGATAGATCCTACATATCCACCAACTCGGTTAATTAGCCGGACATTCGCCTTCCGTCCTCTGAATTTCGTAAGCAACAGTAATGCCGCGAGAAGGCAGTGAGTAGGACTTCCGTGGCCGTGGCTGTGTACGCGTAGCCATGTGAGAGCATTTCGAGAGGTAGCTGACTCTCCCCACCCTCGGCCGTACCAGGGTATTTGAGGGACCAAATTGTTAAGGAAATATTGATTTGATTCAAGGCACGAGAGTATTATCAAGTTGCCACGATGAATAATTGATTTTATTTAACCGAAATTAGATATACAATGAATGATAATCACGTGAATGACTAATTATTTGATGCATTTATGAAACATTAATAAACCTGGCAACTATGATTATTTCATTCATATTCCATTCTAATCTCGTCATCAATCTCTTTTTAGGCGTATGCGAGTAATTCTTGTGTTCCTGTAAATGCAGTGGAAAGTCCGGGTCCCCGTCATCCCCATTCTACCTTGGATTTTAAGTCAATGTGCTCAACGGTTCCTGCTCCTTTCCCACCTATCTCATCATCCATTCATTCACAAAATATTTTTCCACAAACTGATGTAATTACTCAGGAGTTCCAGCATGCTGGTTTAGGTTATACCGGATTGTCATCTATGAATTCAATGGGTGATCGTCTGCTTCGACCTTCCAATAATTTCGCAAGACCTACACCACCATTGTCTTCCAATCGTATGCCTTATATTCCTGCGAGTGTTACAGACTCTCAATCACCTCCTAGAACTCCGACTACAATAATTGGCCCAAGAATTAGTGTGCCACCAGTCCCACCGAGACCTCAAATAGCTACTTCAACTATGTATACTTGTCAAAATAATGGTCCACCTCCTTTTTCTTCCATACATACACCACGTTTTCCCTCACGCGGCCCAACTAGTTATCCACAACTGAATTTAACACTCATGCCTCCGCCTCTTCCTCCTTACCCTCATCATATTCATCAACCACCGCCTGTTCTTCCACCACCTGGATTTCTACCACCAGCTCATTCCTATCGCCCTTCTGGAACCAGTAGCTCTTCTGTCCCACTTAATAATACATCTCCTTCAGGAAACAAGCCTGTTCATAACAGATTTCCAAAAGATCACACTCATTGTACAACACTGCATCAACCTAACACCCCTGTGTCTGTGATGACACTCACGTTTGCAGCTGCTCAGCAACAAACCTCAGGAGTAAATCCTACTTTCGGGATAAGGCATTCATCATCCAACCAAACTTCTCATTTTCCACCTCCGTACTATGGTTTTCCTACTGATTCAACCGCAACTCCCACTTTCCAACCAAATTCTTCGTACCTTAATCATTCTAACCCACCGTTACATATTAATAATGTATTGCACCTAAGACCGACTAATGATGCTGCTCCAGAGCGTAGTCGTCTGTTGGAAGAGTTTCGGTATGTTTTCCATCATCTGATTTCTTTTTTCTTCTGTTAATTTTTATCTGAATCAGAAGCTGAACACAAATAAGTTCAACCAGTCCAAGCTGAAACAGGAAAAAATTACTTTCGCTAGTAAAATACAAATTAGTAACTGTGGTTTAAACAACAATGATTCAAATTACACCTACTCAGCTTTGCTTACGCATATTATTTGTCTTCAATCATATGATTTAGATTCGTCATCACAGGTTTCTGTGATAAATTTAAAACATGTAAAGTACTGGACTTCTTATATCCAAGCATCTACTAAAACGCAGTCATAACTTATTGATATGTTGTCAGTTATGTTATCCAGTATGCTCTAATGTAGTTAAAGTTCTTGAAAATCATCCAACAATGTTATAATGCCATATGAGCGCATATTTCCAAATCAACGTTGCGTTTATTTGCGGTGTTTCATAGCTCACTGTAAGGTTGTATGTCTGAGATTATCAGCCGTTGAAACAAATAGTGCATATTTTACACAAAAATCTCTTAATGAATTTAAAGTTGCATTCTTGTTTCTATCATGATGACGTGCTGACATATTTGGCTGCTCATAAATCATATGTTGGTTAAGCCGTAAAATTTTGGTTTATTGTTCTCGGTATATGAAGTATATGATCCTACCACTTACCAAATGTACTTCATGTTGGTCAATATATACTAACTAAAACTAACTACTTCAGTGAAATATAAATATGCTATTAGGGTAGGCGTGACTGGTTGTTGCAGTGTGTTCTATTCTTATGAGTCATGGAAATTTAGAATGTAATGAAGAGCTTGCTAGTTTCTAACTTCCTTTACCTTCGAACGATTTAATATACTTGGTGAAATCGTTAAATGTCTAGTTTTGTAATTAAACAAAACTATTTTAATTTAGATCATGAACCGATTGATGTTAGACCATTGGAAACCTGGAAGCACTGGACGGCCGTATTGTCCTGTTGTATATATATATATATATTGTATATAATTAGATGGTATAAGTCGGTAGATAATGTTTTTCAAGATGATAGTTTCCTATTCATAATTGACCATATTAACGGAAAATGCAAAAGATAGATAAAACCTGGATTATGTCAACCTTATATGACATTTGTTTATGAATTGACTGACAGTTAATTCAATTCTCACATTTTATTCTCTCATATCACGCAACAAATACTAATGACAAAGTTTATCCTAGCTTATAAATCCCATCGTGTAGATATTTTTCTTGATTTTTTTGGTCAATTATCAGAAGTTAATGCAACTTAAATGAATCCAATCTACTATATTCAATCTAGTTGCGATTTTTATTACCTCGTCATTTTATATTCTAGTTATTTACATGATTTCTCTACAAGACATGCATCTAATCCATTTAACTTCTATTCTCTGTTTAGTAATTCTCGATTGCCTTGTTTAACATTGCATGATTTAATGAATCATATCGTGGAATTTGCTCAAGATCAGTATGGTTCACGTTTTATTCAACAGAAATTAGAACAAGCTAGTGTTGTAGATAAAACTAGTGTGTTTCGTGAAATTCTTCCTTATGCATACAATCTAATGATCGATGTATTTGGAAATTATGTAATACAAAAATTTTTTGAATTAGGAACACCAGAGCAAAAACAAGTAAGCTTAATACATTCGCTACATTTTTTTTACTACTTTTTAAACACTTATCTCATTGATTGTTATCCAAAGCTTTTGTGATTAATACATATTTTGTTGGTTGCTTAATGTTCACTATTCAAATAACGTACTGTATTACATTCATCGAAAACATTTTTGTTTTGTAAAGTTCATAATTATAATTTGAATCTGGACGTAATAACTTTTGCACTCTCAACTTTCTACAGAAATAGTCACTACATGATTTCTGGCTTCAGTTAATTCATTATAACAGAGTAATATTATTCGTTCCACATCTACCTTAATTGACTCTAATAGGCTTTTGCAAACTAAGTAGCATCTCTAGCCCGTAAACGAACAGTTTAGCTCGTAGCTTAGTGAATAAAATCGTACTTGCTAATTGAGTTATATTCTTATAGTTGATTAACTGATTTCAATTCAATATCATCTTTCAACGAAAAGTATCCACATAATCAATTTCTTACAATATCTAATTCAATAAATGGTATATATAGTATAACAAATTGATCCCATATATTCGCTTTCTTTCATGTTTCTATGGATTTTGCGTAGATTTTCAATAACATTTCAGCAATTAACACTGGAATAATTTTCATTACTTATATATTCTTTAAATTTAGTTATAAATTAATGTTATTCTAAAATCAATTTTCATGTATTAAAATTAAGTGATCACCTGAATAAAATTTGAAGATGCCCTTTATGTCTATATGCGTGTAAATCAACTCTCTGTAAAACCCCGATAGCACTAGTAAAACAGTTATGTTGATAATATGTATATCTTAGTCGAAATTGATCCTCGCTGACAAACTTTCAAATGGGTTTATTTGTATCCAGTGTATTGATTAGTCACTAATCTTTCCTGTTATGCCTTCATCTGAATAATTTTAAACTATTCAAAGTCTTGATTTCTCACTGTCAGAAACACAAAACGGTTGTATTTCTGATATGCCCTTCGTATAATTCTGTTTGACCTCAAAAGCTTGGCAGAGTAATTATTACCTATAACAACTTTATGTTGTGCTAAACAGTTCGGCGTATTAAAGATGAGCTTGGTCACCTTAAGTCACTTGACATTCATCACACAGTTGTTTCTTTGCTTAATATTCATTATTGATTTGTTACACTATTTATGTTCACAAGTAAAACTTCATTATAATATTGAGAATAATATAGTTTGTAGTTTTAGTCTTCATATTAATTTTGCCCTCTCAACTAATTTTTCTACTGCACTCTAGATACTAGCTCAGAGAATACGTGGACAAGTTTTGTCATTGTCTCTTCAGATGTATGGTTGTCGTGTCATACAAAAAGCTGTTGAGTCTGTCCCATTGGAAATACAAATATCAATCGTTAAGGAACTGGATGGATGTGTAATCAAATGTGTGAAGGATCAAAATGGAAATCATGTTGTACAGAAATGCGTGGAAAATGTCCCTCCAGAACACTTACAGTTTATTATAGACGCTTTTAAGGATCATGTAAGCAGTTTGTGAATAAATTAAAAGTTTTACTCGATATGTCGATAAAATTTTTGTAAGGTCTTCAGGTCTTTTAGAAGTGTGGAAATGTTTCTTTCTATTGTTCAATTCATGAGTCCATTGAGGCTAGACCCTTATGGAAAACCTGGAATCACTGGATGGCCGTTTCGTCCTAGTATGAGACTCTTTAACAGTGCGCATCCACGATCTCGCAAGTTTTTTATTTCAGTAATTAAAGTCGAAAACAACATAACGGGTTCATCTGTATCTATTCAGATTGTTTGCATTTTTTTAAAGAAAGAAGTTGACTCCTGACATTGTACTTGAGGTAAATATTTTTATTATCCTTATCCGTCGTACCAATTTTCCGTACTCTAGCTATACCTTATATTTCCTTTCCCCAATGTAATGAGTCATTAATGACAACAGCTTGATTGGTCAGTCGACAATACTTTTAAAAAGAATAATTTAAAAAGGTCATTGAAATCATGATCTAATCAATGTTAGACCACTATAGATCGTTTCATGATTACAATGAAATTCAACAATCTCCACAACCTCAAACTGAATAAAGAATAATTGTCTTAGTTAAAGCTTTCTGTTTGTCAGGGAATTTATATTATCAAAACATGTAAGTTACATCATTTGTTCTGAAGTTACTCGTAAAATAGGCTAGATGGATTTTTATTGCAAATTTCGCCATTCGGGGCACCCTCAATATGACGTCCAACTTTTACACTTTTTAATAACATTGTACCACAGATCGATCTAGTTTTGTGAATACATTCAAATAAAATTAACAACTACTTTAACCGAATTTCATAATACAATTAACCGTACAGGGTGTTGGCGGGATATAGATTGTGTTAGGACACGCTGATTGGTTATCTCTTAACCAATCAGCGCTAGTGAATACTTGGAGAACACTGTGGAACCCTCTCACGTAAAATCTATAAATATAACAACGTTTTTCTTATTGTGATTCCTACTTCCATTCAACCTTTTTATTTGGAATATAATTACGTTCCTTTTCAACCTTGTTCTGATTTGGGGACTTATCGAGTGATGTAGTATCCAAGCGTGCTAAGCGATAGAAGTAGCTAGGTAGTTACAAGAGAAATTATAACACAGTGCAAACTCGGTTTTAGTAAGGATGAATACTCACCTTATGTGGTTTTAAGGCAAGCGTATATATAGCACTAACAGCTTACAGTCTTCATGTTAAATGTCAATCCAGTCAAAAATGGATTGTGATGTAATTTTTTCACACCATTCACTCAATCTTCTGGATAATATTTACGTTTTTTAGTAGATGTGAGGTGTATTCAATGCACGTGTTTCTTAATTATATTCATTTAATATATAGTCCAGTATTAGCACCTGCCATTCAACCTTAGCAAGTGTAGTCTCCTTCGTGAAAGTGACAGCCTAGTTGTGATTGAAAATAAACTGGCTTTGTCATTAGATTCCCAGTAACACTGAACAAAGTTTGTAGCTTAGCACATAAAGCTGTGTTCTATCGCTGCATTGTACAATGTATCTACGTTAAACCTATTATATACTACTACTTGAAATTCTGAAAAACAATCCTACTATATAGCGAGTTTAATTAACATGTATGTATCAGTACTTTTTAGATTATATCACTAAGTAACACTGAAATATCCTAATTCATATTTTATTTATGACCATTTCCTTATTACATAACAGTATTGTTTACGTAATTTTGTGTCATATTTTATAAATTGAAGCTAAAATTATTACTGACACATGCTTTGTGTGTAAACTTCGATATTATCTTGTTAAATAATTATTTCGTAAAGTTCTAACTAACTTTTACATTATGAAGTATTTTTTTAATAGAAAATTTCAATCCTAAATATAATTCTACACTTCATTTTTGTTACTGATTAGTATAATTTAATGAAGATAGACGAAGATTTTCAGAACTATGTGATATATTAGGCAATACATTGCGAACACTCTGACCACATATATATTTCAATGATTGAGATCATGGGAAGCCTGCAAGCACTGGACTGGTTAAAGTTAGAAATAGGATGTCGGCTCAGTGGTCTAGAGGTTTAGTGCTGATAGGTCATCGGTTCGAATCTCGCGAGACGGGATCGCGGGTGCGCACTGCTGAGGAGTCCCATACTAGGACGAAATGGTCGTCCAATGCTTCCAGGTTTTCCATGGTCTAGCTTCAATTGACTCATGATGTCAACTATTGCAATTACTATAATATCAACAAAAGTCCTTTTGATATTAATCAACATAGTTCCAATAATTTCCTCTTTCTATTAGATTATCCAAATTTATCACAAGGGCTAATTGCTTTAAATTTCTAAAAAAGGGGCCTATTATATTTTATTTCATTGCATTGCTTGCTGTGTATTAATTCACGTCGACGTTTGTGGATGTGTTTTCTTCATAGGTATATTCGATATCTACTCATTCGTATGGTTGTCGTGTTATTCAACGTATTTTAGAGCACTGTACACCTGAACAAACTACTCCAATTCTCTCTGAGTTACACCAACACACTGATGCGCTTGTTAAAGATCAGTATGGAAATTATGTGATTCAAGTAGGTGGTGAAAATTTTGTACCTAATACTGTTTCTTGTTTATGAAGTTATATGATGTAATTAAGAACATGGATTTGTTGTATACTCTTTTGGAACTTCTGAGATTTTTTATAATGAACGCAGTAGTTTTGTCTTATTAGTAAACAAGTATCTACTTTTTATTGAATTTTCATAATTGGAATATATTTACAATACGGCCTTTCTACAAGTTTAACATCGTAATTGGGCAAAACAAACACAATTGAATTTCTAGAATTATGCGATTTAGCTTATACAGATTATTGATATTTCTAAAGGAGAGCGCCTAATACATATCTAATTATAAATTCATGTTTATTTTCACACATACCAATTTTTAAATACAATATTCCTCTTTTTTTCTAGCATGTTCTTGAACACGGAAAAACGGAAGATAAGAGCCGAATCGTAGAACACATCAAAGGTCGTGTAGCTAAGCTGAGTGTGCACAAGTTCGCTAGTAATGTTGTAGAGAAAGCTGTTGCGAACGCTTCACGAGTTGAGCGTCAATCACTTATCAATGAAATACTTGAAGAAACTGTGTTAACTGAAAATCAAATTGTACAAAATGGACAAAATCAATCTAGGGAATTTCGGGTTGATGATAGTTTTAGTGAGAATGATGATGACGAGATGATGATGATGAACCCAGAACGAGAAGTTCGGTTTTAGTTATGATGATGAAAGATCAGTTTGCTAATTATGTTATCCAGAAAATGTTGGATGTTGCTGAACAACCGATAAGGAAAGAGCTTATGATTCAAATTCGTCCACATTTAGGTATTTTACGTAAATATACTTACGGTAAACATATCATTAATAAGATGGAAAAATACTACATGAAAACAAATCAGTTACATTTAGCCGTTGGACTAAATTCTCCATCACCACCTCCATCTCTAGATATTGTAAACGCTTCTTCAAACATCACTCAATCGAATTTAAATTCAACTATTCGTAGTTGTGGAAGTACACATAGCAGTTCGGCTGCATCACTCCTCCCACCACTGTTAACTCCAACAGATATGGCTATTCGAGCTTCGAAGTCAATTTCAGTGAATCGATCCGGTCATTCACACCATTGCTATTCTAATCATATCTCTCACCATCATCAGTCGTATTTATCTTCATTTTCGCGTAATGGTTTACCATCACATCGGGTAAAACATAAAGAGTCCAATAATAGTAACTCAAATTCTCAGAAAGTTTCAAATGAGGAAATGCAAAGTAGTTCTACACTTATGTCTGATAGTACGAGTTCATCCAAAGAGACGTTGGAAGTGCATAGAAGTTTTGATGACGAGTTCTGTGGTGATGATAATATTAGGTCCTTAAAAAGTAAACATGAAAAACACAATTCCGAATTAGAATCATCTAATTTTAATCAAACACCAACGACTACGAATGAACGCTCCAATAGGAACTGTGACGATAATAAAGGGAAAGTAAAATTATCAGATCCAGGCAGTACTAGTCATTTGTATCAAGTAGTCAATGATGTATCAAGTGATTTTCGAGTGTCATCAACAACAAAATCTAGTATTCCAACATCTACTAGCGTCAAACTTAATGAAGTAGATGTTAATAGTGGAAAGTCAAGAAGTGTCGGTGAACTATTGACTAACGGTAGTGATCATTAATAATGTTTGCTATACCTTTTCCTCTTCCTTTATGTCAATTTATCTTCTTTTTCTTAAATCCTTTTTTTTCTAAATGTTATATGATCATCAATTAACCGTTAGGAAATTGCTTATTTGATAGTATCTTCCATGTTTTGTATTTTATCAAGCTTCAATTCCTTGTGCAATGATCTATTTATCTCAAACTATTTTAAAAAGATTTCCTCATGTTCAGCAAATATCATTCTCTTGCACAGACGATTTATTATGTAATGTTTTTTCTCTCTTTTTATTATATATTTTTTTAAGAAAAATTTCGACCTTCCATTGTCTCATGTATATGTACGTATAAGCTTTGATTTTTTTTTCTTTTTTTTTAATGCAAAGAAATGTATGAGACCTTCTTGTAAAACATAACATCACTGTACGTGATGTTTACTGATTAATACATGGATGATGGGTCCAGGTTATTTATATATACATACATTCTATTGTTGCGTTTCATTCTCTTTCACCATACTACCCTACCGTCGTCAGTTGTGTTGTTATACTGACATGACTGATTCTGTATTAATGGTACACTTCACTTGTTATTTCTTTCGGTGTATGTTGTTGTGTAATCAACTGAATATCCTTATATGTAGTAAAAATTTCAATTTTTATTCAATGTATGTGCATCTACTGTAAATCTGACTATTCTCAATTATGAATCTATTATATACCAATTCAAGTTGTATTTATACGTATATATATATATTAATAATCTTCACTTCATATTAACCCTTTTTTTAGTTCCTGATGTCTGATCATCTTGGAATTGTGTATTGTTTTCTACAATAATAGAATGTTTGTATTTAGTTATTTATTATTACTATATTGGTTGAAGTCATTTTGTAGTAACTATCCTGTTTAATCAAGCTTGTCTTTGTATACATTCTGTACACCATTTTAACTTTTATTTGTTTCACTTGTGTGTTTGTGACAATGTGTTATTATTACTATTATTGCTATAACACTCTCCCAAGTTCTTGATACTTGTAATAATATGTATTTTTCACTGTTCTTTCACTATGAAAAAATTAATCGTTTTCACAAATAAAATGAATATATATATATATATATATATATATATATATATATATATATATTCTCTATTTATCATTGTGTTTTGTTTATTATTCCATTCAATCGTAAACAAATTGTCAGTGTTGGATATCAGTACCTTCAATCTAATTACATAATCTACTAATTATGTATTTGTTAAGTATATACTTTCTTTATTTGCACAATGGTTCGTATTAATTAAAGGCTTTCCGTTATTATCTTGTTAGCTTACGTTATCTAGTTGATTTCGTATCATTTTAGTGTTTTCATTAGGCTAACAGATTTGATATAATTTTAAAAAAAAACAACTAAATGTTCACAATTAGACTTTTGTAAAGTTACCGTAGATGCTTTGATATATTTCGGCGTAATACGATTCATTTGAATTTGAAGGGAAACAAAGTCGTTTTGTTTTGCTCACTTATGCCTTTGGAGTCGTCATGTACCTCGATCTTTGACGACTATCATTATGTTTTTAAAGTTTTATGTGTATTTGCTCTCAAAGTAAAACTAGGAAACCGTGATGAATATTCTTCCACAGCTCTCATACTCGTTGACAATATCATAAATTGACTACCTTCCTGTCATTTACACCCAGTCCCAGCGTCGATAGATAAAAAACGATATAGGAGTTAGTAGGATGACATTCATTGTATATGTATTAAGATATACAATGTGCTTCATAAACAACAGATATAAAAATTATATGCATAATGAATTAGGTACTTTACAGTGCCCTATATCACCTGAAAGGTAGTACAGAATTACGGAGGTGACATATAACTACGAATTCTTCAGAATTCACGATGAATTCAATTTAGTATTGCACTCAAAGCCCTGGTACGGCTGAGGGTGTGGAGAGTTCTCTCACCTTCTCGAAAAGCTCTTACATAGCCATGCGTACATAAAAATTCCTTCTCGCGGCGGGGTTTGAACGGACAAGCAAGTGCCCGGTGCTTTAACCAAGTAAGTGGATGTGGACGATTCACCTAGTGAGGTTGGAAAACCGTGATTCCAAACCACGGCTCCAGGATCCTACAAGGACAAATAGAGATTGCTTATGTGTTTAACTAAAATAAGTAATTTGGCATTAAGACACCCTGGAAGATGTAGAACTCGATATCAGTTCAGTCAGTTAATAATAAACTTACTGAAAGACACGTAAACTAGGAGGTAGATCTGAATCTAATTTGTCCGTAACAAATTAACCAGGAGGAATGGACGTTAATCACATGACTGCGTAAGAGGTTTAAGTTGGGTACTAAAGTCAAACTCATTATCAGAACAACAAATTACATTTATGCAATTTATCAAAGAAACATTTTTTATGTACAATATAATCAGAAAATTAAAAGACCTAACGTTTGATAAAATTATCATGAAGCTCCCCTTTCTGACGATTACTAGCCTTACGATGAATACCTTCTTCTAAAGTAGTCCTGTCAACGTGTTGGTTTTTTAAATGACTAATAAATGATGGTCCATGCGAAAATTTCGAGGCTAATTCCCTTTCCTCTTCATTCTTTTTTATCTTATAGTGAGTAGTGGAACGATGTAAACGTTCTTTTTCATGTTCTTTTGCATCAGAAATCATCTGGGCTCGCTTAGCTTCGATTTCTTCTTTGGATAACTTTCGTCGATTCGATGTTGATTTGTGATAGTTAGATCTTTCTGAACAGGATGAAATTGATTGATTACGTTCTGAATGATGTTTTCTGTTCACATTTGAACACTTTTGGTCTGAAAGTGCATGTTCCTGATCACAAGAATTTGAAAGTTGTTTTTTAACAGTACTAGATGATTCTTTACTACATTTATCCATAGATTTCTGTGAGCTATCCTCTTTCAGTTCATTAGATTGATGAATAATTTCAATGAACTTATTCAGTAATTCATCATCTGAACTACCTCCCTCTGATTCATCTGAACTTTTATGCAGACGTTTTTGTTTTAAATGTTTTTTACTTTTACGTTTTTCTTTACGCAATTTTTGCTCTGTTAGCTATAAAAAAAATATTATCAAATGATTGGATAGACCTTACAAGTCTTCGAAGTTTCCTAACTTTAGCTGTATTCTGAAGCAGTTCTATTCGTTTTTCCGCTTCTCTTTGCCTATTAAGTAAATGAGTAAAATACCTCAATATGATTTAAATAATCACTTCATAATTGTCAGGGGATCTTCACGAAATTTGGCTTCCATATCAAATCTAGCAAGTCGTTGAGCAGGTGATTCGTCATATTCTAAATTAATTTTTTTTTAACTCGATTTTTTCTTTTACCTTTACCAATTTCCTGAATTTGGTTTAAGCTTTGAACTTGCTTTCCCAATAAAAATGCTTCAGGATCATCTTTCGGTTTCTCATACATCCATGAATTCTCATTTGTACTCCTAATATAATGGGGAAAAGTAAATTTTATTTAGATGTTTAAAAGTTTACTTTTTCTCTGCTAAAAGAGCAGCGATTTTCATACGTTCTTCAGGAACCTAAAACAATATTGGAAACAAAATAGATTATATCGCTAAAATAACTTATAGTAAAATAATACAATCAGAAGAGTAGGCGTAATTTAACGAGCAACCCCAAGATTCTATTTATCATTAATTATTATGCACTGAAAATTTCAAGTTTGCATAAGCCAACCGAGCTTACAGAATCCGTATTGAGATTTCGTCAGATGACAACCCACAAGAGCTGACGAGACTTCTGAAATAAGTGAAGCAGTCCATGCACTCAAATATTTCGCTACATAACATTTTAGTCACTGACATAGATCAGTCCTAAAGTAACACTTCGCATTGTCCCTTAAGGAAATCAAAAGTCAACCTTATGAAACAAGATTTTTACCCGTGTATTTTAAATGGATAGCCTCCAAGTATCCTGATACGGTTGAAGGTGGGGAGATCCAGCTCGCCTTCTTGAGATGCCTTCATATTGCCATACGTATATAGCCACTGCTGAGAAATCCTACTCACTGCCTTCTCGCGGCATTACTGTTGTATACGAAATTGAGAAGACGAAAATAGAAGGTCCGGTGCTTACACCTGGTCAGTGACTACGCAAGGTTCATCTGGTGGGGTTGCAAAACCCTAATTTCAAGCCAATGGTGTACATGGGCTCCAGGATCCTGAGGGAAAAATGGCTCGTGAACCCATTCTTCGCCACCGTTTATGATGGGACCGCATCTCTTAACGTCGTTTTACTGCCTTGTGGATTTTTCGTGCTTTGTTGATTTGACACCAACTTGATTGAATGATGATGTTAACAAGATAAAAATGCCGCCAACTCTCGTATATAATTATCGATTTAGTTTGCGTTAGAGAACAACGGAATAAAATAAGTTAAACATGAGAATTTTGGATACGTATACTTCACACACCTATTGACCCCGAGCAAATGTCACTCAATATTTATAGCCAGATAAAAGTAAGCCAAAGATGTGATACATATACATATGTTCATATAGAGATAGTCAAGGTTAATAAGCGAATAATTGACAAGGTCAAAATGTGACTCAAGAATAAATAACGTGGTCTGTCCGGAAGCTAGCGTTCCCATGTAGGCTTGACATAGTGCTAGATACTACAGATTAGACCTCTGAGTCAAAGGTTTATTATTTTTTTATTTGAACACATAGATATCGGTAAAAGTAGGCACCAAATACATATGCGCCACACAAATCTCACTTGATTTGTTTGAGAGCTGTGATACTGCCCGGGTGCCCAAACCGAAGCAGATGGTTTTTTCAGGCCACACTCGGAGCATTCGACCTGAAGGTCTGATCCACAAGGCAGTGGAGCATTGTAAGGAGATGCAGTCCCATAATAGCCGGTGACCAATGATTGGTACATACGCCATTTGTTCCTTCAGGATAATGGAGCCCATGTGCACCGTTCGTTTGGAATCAGGGTTTTCCAACTCCCCTAGGTGAATTCTCTGTGTCCACCAACCCGGTTAAAGCGCCGGACATTCGCTTTAGGTCCTCTCATTTTCGTAAACAACACCCCGGCCACGAGGAGTCAGCGAGTAGGACTTCCTTGGTAGAGGCTATATACTCGTGGCCATGTGAGAGGATTTTGGGAGGGTGAGCGGACCCTCTCCACTCTCGGACGTGCCAGGGCATTTGGGGGCCTGGGTCAAAGGCTAGGGGGTCGAGCCCTTAAAATCCACCTGTTTAGGTTTGAGAAGCTGGAGGGTATCCCAGCTCACAAGCAAATTGAGTGGTAACTACGTTGTGTGGGGCATATATATTTTTTTGCGTTTTTGTACCGATATTTATGTGTTTAAATAAGTAAATAAATTCAAGTGGATAAGTGAATCGCCTAGTTAAAGATCAATCCCTGAGGGATTAGACAGAGATACTATCTCATGAGAAAGTTAACTAGAAATGCGAAAGTAAGTAGCCCCGACGAACACCATTTGAAGTTGATGGTTCGTCACAACCATTGACTCGACCAAAAGTGTTCGAATAGAAAATTTTATCAAGGTTCATGTACCTCTTTGAAACTTCTTTCTATGATTAACACTGCTATGTGAGGTTTTCATTAACGGAACCGAACGCTGTTCTCATGTCATGAAATGCCACTACTATGAGACGATAATGGGTGTGGGAATGCTCTAGAAACTGACAAAGGGTTGGTATCTGATCAATACATTCAAGTTCAAATTTGAAACCAATCTGACTTTCTTGAGCCCAACACCACAAGCTTCAATTAAGCTCCAGCTGATTATTGAGGCTAATATTTCAGATAAAATGAAACTGCCGGAGCGAATTCAATAGTGGAGATAGTATAGGTACCATTAAAAAGGTTATGCAACGAAATTCTAAATTAGTGAAATGAAAAAAATAGAAGGATTTTTAAAACATAGGATCTAAAGAAAGCTAAAGAGTGAATCCATCTGCGCGATTGTGAACAATTTCGAGCCATATCATACAAAGTCTCTGACCGCTGGTTACGATAATCACGAGGAACCTAACCAGGTAGTAGGCACCTACCATACAGCTCAGTTCAACAGTTTGCTTCTTCGTGCACTAATCCTGTTTTGGTTTTGCTGCCTCTAGCTGTTTTCTAACTTATTTCTACACTAGACAAATGCTTTAGTCCTTATTGTATTCCGAGCCAGATGAGATGAGACTTCAAACATTTATCAACTGAGTAAACACTACTGAAATCTATTATTGCCCAACCTTATAGTATGAGTTACTGGTAGATCTCACTGCTGTTTCTCCAGCTGTCTGGATATTATGCTAATCCATATTGAGAAAGGTGTCACATTAGAGGTTGACTAACTGCTTTCCCCATTGTTTCTGGAATATACTATGTACTTCACAGTAAAGCTGAACTATTTGGGGTCTTCTTGATCTAGATTTTCTGGGTCTAGTATGACGCAAACAAACACGTTCTCTTACTGGAGCAGGATCAGAGTCTAGACATGTGCCACAGAATGAGCAGCAGTCTCCTATTGAGCCTCTCCAACGATCACTAATCATAGTATGGTCCTGATTGAGGCTATCGTTGAGCTAATTTTACTGGTCGCCATGTCGGACGATGTCTCTCCTTATGCTTAAAATTGATACTTTTTAGGAATAAACGGTTGTCTGGACAGATGCTCGTCGTCATCTGTTCGTTGGGCTGGGACACAGTAAGGTCCATCTAAATGTCTTCTATTTCACTTGAAACTACCTACTTGGGTGATAAAATCACTGCTACAATTCAGTCAGTCAGCTACAACGTAGGACCAGGCACATATGTGCATCGGTCCAGGTTGCCATACCGCATCAGCACAGCAAGATGAACACCGGATTCATAGCGGTGGTTAGGTCAAAGGTAGTAATATGTAAGAGAATAATTGCATATGGAGATATAGTACAAGAAGAAAGAATTGGTTCGTAGAAAGATGTGAAGCGATTTTAATCTCTTAGTTTAAGGGAAGACAGGGAGTGTATACACCGACGCCATTGTGATCGATTCTGAGCCATGTCACCAAGAGTCTCCAATCATTGGTTACGATAGTCACACGGACCCCAACCAAGTAGTCTGCATCTACCAACATGGCTCAGACTAGAAGTTAGTGACTTCAAGCACTGATGCCACGTTTTGGTTTGGCCGCCCCTAACTTTCTTCCAACCATCTCCAATACCGGATAGCATTGCACATCGTGGTAATCGGTATTCAGGCATACGTAACACGTGGCCCAACCATCTCAGTCGATGAAGATTTATAACCTCATCAACTGATTAACCATCATTCCCTAATACCCTGCGTCTAACCTCACTATTACTTACCCGGTGATCCCAGCAGACGCCAGCAATATTTCTAAGGCATCTGTGGTCAAATACTAGTATTTTACGAGTGTCTTCTACTCGTGATGGGCATGTTTCGCTGCCGTAAATTAAAACAGAACGGACTGCCGCGCAGTATACTCGTCCGACCGTTGTTGCTACCTTGACGTGGTGGTCGGGCTTGCCTATCGTGATGAACCAACCGAGCTATACTGGCTGGAACAACCGTTCCTCAAGGTCCTACCATATCAGACAGGTCGGTTGAAGAGCGGTAAGACTAAAAGCAACAAACCCAAGGTCCGAAGGCGAAGTCGTACTGCTGACTGTACAGAGGTGTGACAGCAGTGTGTTTCCTTCAGACAACCAGCATGACAGCGATGCTGCCTTCCCACAAGGAGGGGTGGTGTTAGAAAAGGTCGACCCTAAAAATGCACACCTCACCTTACCTCACGGATTTCCGTCTCCGGCGGTAAGGCCCTTTGAACAACGGAGCTAACACGTCAAGAACCTCCCACGAAAAGACCGTGCGCGACCGGCCTCAAGCAGTTGTACCTTGGGCACTGCGGTCACGCTCTCAAGTCACTGAGACCGCCTCTAATCCAATTTCCTTTTCAGGTACCTCCAGAAGAACCCTTCCACGGTGTGGGCAACCGGGAAGTGATAACCGCCCTCATACCTCTAACAGTACTCAAGATCACTGTATTCATAATCAACCTTCCTCTTCAATTCCTATTATTCCTCCTACATCGACTTTCAACAACTGCTACAATTACGTCTAAGTGTTTGACTTCTTGTAGAAGAGACAGTCCTTTTTTAAAACTCATCCTTCAATTGATCCGAACTGCAATCATTGGTAACGTAGGCAGAGACGATGAAGAGACATTGGTGTGTAATTAATCCACCGAGTTCCTATTATCCTTTTAGTCAGAAAGTGCATGAGCTGCAATCTACCGAAATTTAGTTTACAAGAACCTGCCCTGTTCAAAACTTTAAAGTCCAAGATGTACTTCAGAGTGTGGTACTGGCATACTAAGAGTAACACTGAGGAATTGAATCGCTAGCGTTGGCAGGACAAAGCTGGAACTGTAGGAGAAGACTTTATGGTAGGATTAAAAGAAATGTCGAATTAGATGAGTACTTTATTTAGGGTTTCCCAAAGGCTACCCTCATCCAAGAATGACCACGAATCCGCAAGCCCTAGTACATGACTAGTAGGATGATTGAGCGAAAATTTAAAATTTTCAGTTCTGCGCTCTATGTGATATTTAGGAAGCACACTATTAATCCACACGGTGTTTTGGAAAAATGGCTACTTTTTACTCATCCGGTTATATGATGACTGTTTCGATTTCAAGAAATTAATAAACAACTGAAATATTATCATATTCTCAAGATTAATGATTTCAAAAACTCACCGTACGTAACCTCAAAAATTAAATGACTTACAAGATCCTTCAAATTCATATTGCAAGTGAATCGAAATGTCTCTCTCTATCCGAAACAGTAGCAGGATTAGGATTAAAAAAACTAAAAAAGATAAAAATGAATAAAATATGACTAAAATATATATACCTAAGAAGAATCTTTTGTAAAAATAAATAAGGCGAACAACCTGAAAGCAAATAAATTTATGTGCAAATTAACAACTTTCATAACGACCTGAAAATGGCCCAATCACAGGAAGTTTCATTAACGTGTGATATGCGTTTAGAATGGTCTTTCTCATGGAAGCTAGTAGAAGGTCAAACATATGTCGAAAAGAAGTTATGAAATGGGAAGGTTGCGCTACCAGTTACATCGTGATATGAAGTGGAAAATAAGAACCATGACTTATCTATCTCCCTAACCTGCCACACACAATAGTGATACGACAAAGGAAAACAAAAGGTACAAAAGAATGTTAAGCGCATTATGATGATAACGAACTATAACATAGATGGAAGTGAATTAGAAGTGAGGAAAAGCATAGGATTTTAAAATGCAGATGGTATATTTAAGTGCCTAGCACTGTTTTTTTAATTTTTTTCAGATTTCGTGAACTTATTTCCAACCTTATCGAGGAGAAAGAATTTGCGTAGATGATGAAAACCAACTGCCAGAGTTTATGGGTTTGCAAAGCAGCATGTTCGCCCTTAATCTATTCCAGACATGTCTGCATACGAGCTAACATAACATATAGAAGTCGTGTGTGTGTACAGGCACGTAGCATATCTCAACTAATTCAAACAATGATGGCTTAAGATCGAATTGGCCACTACCTTGGCTAATCGACTACAGAGGCAAGGCCAAAAGGATGTGCATTTGTAAATACTTGTTTGTATGCTATGTCTAGTAATTATATTTTGTCGTAGGACATAACATTGTAATTTTCCGAGACATCCATGACATTCAATACGGATAATTGTGTCACACGTGACAGATGATGTAATTTGGCAAGATCAACACTTTGTTCACTCAACAAACGAATGGCCCCAAAATTAGTTGTGGTGGGATTCAACGTATATACAATCTCACAGAAAAATCAAGTCACTATTTTATTATACTTCTCTCCTCAAGATTCTCTCATGCATACCACTTTGCACACAGATGGACGAGACGCGTAATGCTGCAAATCCATTAGTTACAGCAAAAAGACAAAACCCAAAGGAATTTATTCCATACATAGATAAGTTTCGATCGACTATACGACATAATGGACCGGCTTAGGATCTTGATTTGTTTCAACGGTACGGAATTGTATATCAGTTTTGATGGGCTGATAGCAAACAATACCAAGGTGTTAAACATTAGAATATAGGTAATAATCAGAACGTAAACCAAAGTGAAATATTTGAATAGTTGGTTAATATTAATTAGCGACTCACTAATACAGCTGGAAGTTAACAGGAAACAACCTCCAGAACTTGAAATAAGCGTGATGATTGGACAAATATAGAACTATGGTTAAGCTAGGTTCGAACTAATAAAACATGTTAAGATCGAAGTATTTCTCAACGTTGAGAAACGAGTACAACTAAATTAAAACTCGTGTAAGAAGTTACCGTGAAAACACCGCTTTTTGATTGATCAGGAACGACAACGTTCCCACTCCCGTACATATATATCTACACATTCAGTAGACTATAGTCTAGTGTATACAGTTGATTACAATGTATATTGATATACATATATGTCTGATAAAAAGCTTGAATATCAAGGGAAGAAACTTCACAAGAATTTTTTAGAAATGCGAATCAGTAGTACTTTGCAAGAAAATGTTATTTAAACTCCTGTCTACCTTGTGGAATGTTACGCAACTAGGGTAAGAACTCACAGTAGCGCAGGCTTCAAACTTCCTGAGGCCTTTTGGGAAGCATATTGGGTCGTATTTGGTGTTAACTTCAAATTGCTGGAATGAAACTGAGACGATTTCGGTTTCTAATAACTTTTAATCAAACGATTTTATTTATGGCGAACTGGAAATTACTCTCAGACCAAGGCCCACAGTTTTGTTCTTATTCTCCCAGAGTAGTACGGATTATTTTCTCTTAGGATTACGAAAATGTGGTGTTTGAACGAACTAATAATATCTTTGTACTTGTTGAATGCTCGATTTCGAATTCCAAATACAATACATTCGTTTGTGCTTGTGTCTCACTTCTTAATTCATTTGCGTTAATTCTGGGATTCCTAGTTCATAGTACAATTCAAATAGTTCAAAACATTATATTGGCGTCGCGATGGAGCCTGTAATCGAAAATTTAGATATTCATTCAACTTCGGAAGCTTTTGAAGATTACTTTGAAAGGTCCGAACTCTGGTCTATGACCAAGAAGCATACAGCTTTTAAGAATTCCAACTGTGCCGGAAAAGCTCATTTCGCTTCCTTATACAACTCTCAAGGAACTGCTGCTAGACTATGTTAATTATAAAAATTTCGAATGCGGTAAAGGAGGAAGATCTCGTAAAATGATTCATGTGGATATAGAAAACACCACTACATTACTACGTCATCCCAACCCAGTGCATACTCAAGGTTATGCAGACAATTCATTGAGTTTGGATGCAGTTCACGAGGATGGGGACAAGTTTGGTCAGTGTTTGTACTGTTGCAAGTTCCACTCTTCTAATTCATGTCAATTTCTTAATTCTAAGTGCTTCAAATGTCGTGATATTGGAAAAGTTCAGTCGGTTTGTAATGCTAATGTTCATCTTACTGCAACTAATATTAAGTCCTGTAATTCTGATTCTACTGAGTCTAGTGTTCATGATGATCTGTATTCGGATTGGGATTACCAATTGTAGCGTGACGTCGAGTTGAGATTAACTATAGACACCGCTACCAAGAAACACGTGCCAATTATATCAGAAGGCGTAAGAAGCTCGTTCCAAATGACTCCATAAAATCCCCGAGAAGCCGAATACCAGAAGGCAATTAATGGACCAAGTCGAGGTTTATTAGTTGGCGATCTCGTGGCATCGAAAGGATACCGAGATCGTGCCAGGATACAACCTTGGTTACAGAAGGTAACCGAATTCGCGCGAAGTTACAATCGAAGTGTAAGTAAGTGAATGGAAGAACAAAACAGCTGTCATTAGCACAGTCAAACAAAAGCACATTAAAACAAACACTGGTACAGTTGGTTATAATAATAATTGTTTTTATTAAACCAGTCGTGTTCTCGTGATAAACGTGAGTCACTACAGGAGCCCCCCGCTAGAAAGGGTTTACACTTTCGATAAATAGCGGTTTGAATCGTGGGACTGATCGGCTGACGAGCGATTGTAGGACGGAAAGATTGGCGAACAGGAAAGCGATCGTTGATCGTCGAGTTGCCAACGAAGGTCGTTTTCGGAGAACGGTACCAGGAGCGATGTGTTGTATTGATTGCTCGAGTTGGCATGCTACACCAGAGTGGTTTGTATCCAGAATCTGAAGAGGGCGTTCGTAGAGGTGCGCACCAGAAACGCTGCAGACGTAGGACGAAACCACGTTGAGCCAAAAGACTAGAAGCGACCGTAACGACCAAGTTCGAGACCAAGCATGTGCCAAGCGTTCGAAACCAATATATCGACTGAGTACGTTGACAAGAGCATGGGTGATCAGGCCAGCTTTCGCCAAAGTTGACTGAAGTCGACGGAACCAAACGGAGATGGTCGAAGGCGTAGGCTCAGGAAACAAAAAGAAAATCAAAGAAGAGAAGAGTGTAGCATGCAAGTAGCATAGGAATATTCCTACACCGTATCGGTTGTTGACTGTGCGACTAGTCGAGGAAGCGTACGGGTAACCGTACTCGGCGACCGGAACGTGAGACGATAGTCTCGTTCGCGTCGCGTGAGCCTGCAATCTCATCCGAAGTCAAGGGCGGCGTGGTCTGCTGATCTGGACGTGAGACTGTCGTCTCGTCCGTAGACGGTGCAGATGACGCGTGCTGTTGACTGGGACGTGAGAGTGATGTCTCAGTTGTATCTAGCGTGAGGCCTGAAGATGGTTTGAGGATCCCGCTGGTAGGTTTGGTAGGTCTAGCATTGAATCTCAGGTTATCAGATAGGGCACTGTCATCGACGTGTGCTGGTTTGAGACGATCAATGCTGACGATCTCGACGCGGCCATGTCGATCAACCTTGAAGGTCTTTTCGTGACGAGCGATCACGCGAAAAGGGCCTTCGTAAGGTTGTTGCAAAGGTTTGCGTACCGAATCTACTCGTATGAAAACATGTGAACAGCTAGATAACTCTCGAGGGAGAGCGACCTGTCGATGTTGTATTCGAGTTGGCACCGGAGGCAGCGTTCACATAAATGCAGACAGTCGACGGACGTAGTCTGATTTAGCGAAATTAGGTCTGCTCCGTGGTGTGAAGAATTCCCCGGGCAGACGCAATGTCGTGCCGTATACAAGTTCAGTGGCGGAACATTGGATATCTGCCTTTAAGCTCGTTCTGATCCCTAAAAGAACGAGCGGTAAGGTTTCGTGCCAGTTGCCGTTTTCGTGTGCTCGTAGAACACTTTTAAGTTGGCAGTGAAACCGTTCAACTTAACCATTTGGTGCTGGGTGGTAGACGGATATGCTTATGCGTATGCATTCCGTACCAAGCAGCCGGGTCAGCGAGGAGAATCGTTAATAGGGTAACATTTCTCGAATAAAGCGTGGAATTCGTCATCACGCGAATAAAAAAGTGACAAGGATTCGGTACACATACGTGTGAGTCTATTATATTAATATTATTCTTATCGTTATCCGTCATGTCGCGTATATTATATATTAAAAAATATGAAAATATACGACAGACGTGGATAGATAAATCATAGACTCACCAAATTGGCTTCTTTGGAAGATTTGACCAGAAGCTGAGGCGTGTTCCAAAAACGGGTCACCAATTGTATTCGGATTGGGATTACCAATTGTAGCGTGACGTCGAGTTGAGATTAACTATAGACACCGCTACCAAGAAACACGTGCCAATTATATCAGAAGGCGTAAGAAGCTCGTTCCAAATGACTCCATAAAATCCCCGAGAAGCCGAATACCAGAAGGCAATTAATGGACCAAGTCGAGGTTTATTAGTTGGCGATCTCGTGGCATCGAAAGGATACCGAGATCGTGCCAGGATACAACCTTGGTTACAGAAGGTAACCGAATTCGCGCGAAGTTACAATCGAAGTGTAAGTAAGTGAATGGAAGAACAAAACAGCTGTCATTAGCACAGTCAAACAAAAGCACATTAAAACAAACACTGGTACAGTTGGTTATAATAATAATTGTTTTTATTAAACCAGTCGTGTTCTCGTGATAAACGTGAGTCACTACAGATCATTTATCTTTATCAACGATTTCAAAAGACAGTGCAGAGTCATATTGCAGTTCAGAGTTAAATGAAATCCAGAATTCTTGTGAGACAACAGTTCCTAATCAACCGATTTATCAGAATTCTCATGCTATTGTACCAGGTATGACTTTTCCTAATGATTCACATATTTCTAATGAAATTACTTGCAATTCTGAGGAAAATATGTTCAATGAACCTAATCATGATCGGAAACCTGATGTGGTTTGGATAGATGCTGATTTTTCTAACGATCCTACGCTCTACAATGACAGTCCTACTGAATTTCATAAGAATATTTCATAAGAATCAAATCTTGATGTCATATCATATATTACCTATCCTCATAATGCATTTGATCCTTATGAAAAACCTGCTCAATGCGGAGCACGAGTACAAAGTG